GTTGGGACCCCGGCTCCGATCACGTGGGCCGGGCCCACGTGACTGACTGGAGCGGCTCCGCGGGGGGGGGCCGGCTTCCGGAGGGCCGGGGCGTCCGGGCCTGGTCCGGGTTATCGCGAGATCTCAGCAGGTACCTGCCGGGTGGTGGGAGCCAGTTATCCGGGTGAAATGTAAGATCTGTGGGAAGTTTCGAGAACGAGCTGTTGAAGTCGTTGCCAGAAGCGGTGGGGAGGGGAGCGAGTCCGGTGGGGGCTGGGCCGTGGGAGGCCCAGGGCGTGCAGAGCTCTGGCTACTCATAGTTGGTACTAATTACATACTCATCCTGTGTGTGTGTGAGTGAGTGTGAGTGTGTGAGTGTGTGAGTGTGCATGTGATTCTTCTGCTTCAACCTCCCTGCAGGCATGCACCACCTCACCCACACCCACCACCGAAGGACTCACCCAAGGACTCTTGGCCTGATCCTTTTATGTATTCCAAGACGGAACCAGAAGGCTCGACCCCCTGGCCTAGTATATCCCAGGTGCATACAGGTGCCAGGCAAGACCCCGGGTGTGCACCGACCGTGCACAGGTAGGGCAATCCGACCTAAGCCAGCCTGTAAACGTTCTGTTGTGTGGGCCCAACCTGTAGGGAATTCTTGAGGCCGAGCTGGGAGACCCGGAAAGTGTAAGGTCCATTCCTAGAAGGCAAACAGACTTTGCCCAGTACCTGCGTTACCTGGGCAACTGGGACACCTGGACGAGGTCACCTCTGCATCCGCTGAGGTCACATCTTAATCTGATGTGGCCACACCTTTCTCCTACCTGATCCCACATCCCTTTACCTGGACACACCTTTCTCCCCGCCCCTACCCTATATAAGGCCTAACCCAGGGCCAGACCCTCTCTTTTGCCAGCCACTTGGAGTGCCAACCTTGCCTGGTCCCAGCAGGTCTACTGAATAAACCTACCCCTTACCTGAATACCACGTGCGTGGTGCTGTTCTTACTCAGCTACCTCTTTTTAAAAACCTAACAGAAAGGATTAAGAAATCAGACAGAAGGCTGAGAACTGGATTCTGAAAAGGTCAAAACATCAAGGCCAAACAGATGTAGAGCCGTTTGGACCTTGAAAAGCTTGAGGCTTTGGAAAAGGGAGTCAATTGTCACTATACTTAGCCTGTTCTCTGCCTGCACCTGCAGTAACCTCCCCGTACTGAACTCAAGTTACCTCTGTCTCCTTGCTCAGACCCCACAAAAGCCTAACTCCAACCCCACCTCCTTGCACAACTTCTGATCCCTCAGGAAGATTGTGCCCCTCGCTGTCCCTCAATAAACAGTCCTAGCCTGTTGATAATTGAGTCTGGCCTTTGCCTTTGCCTTTCTCCTTCATTTTCCTAACAATTACAAGCCAGCTGCCCACAAACAGCTTTTCCCTCCGCTTCATTGTTCTGTAATGCTACCTTTACCTAAATCCAAGTCAGAAAAGGATATACTTAACCTTTAGATTCCTGGCCAATGTGTTGAATGCATTACCAGACATTTAGGGCAGCTAAGGTGACCTCAGGTGCCTGTATCTGTCAAGAGACGAATTCAGGCAAGATGTGAACTGTAGTAAAAGTGACACAAAAGTGTATTAGGACAGAAATCTGGCAAGGAAGGTTGTGGCATCGCCCATCTCAGCTACTTTGGTCTTCTTCCTCCTTACAGAGCTTGGCCTTGGATTGAATGGTGAAACAAGGGGTCTTTAAAGATGGCTTTCTGACTGGCAGGTCTCCTTTCTGTTTCCTGTAAGACTGTGACCTTAGAGATGTGGTGTCCCATCTTTATTTCCTCATTCTTCTGTTGCTCTTACCTTCTCCTTTTGTGGTCACCAGCCCCCATTTTGTTGTGTGGAAGGTTTCAGTTGATCAGTTTTCTCCTGTCATCTGTGAGTTCTGTAGACCACAATTTCCTGATGGGCTGATTTTCTATGAGGTCCTATCTCAAGGACAGGATGTTTTCTTAAGTAACCACTGGACCACTAAAATGAGGACGTTGGACATAGGCAAGGTTTTTATGTAATCATGTGGAGAGTGCTCTGGTTGCCAGTGGGAGCCTGGACTAGGTGGACCACTCAAGACTTGACAGCTGGCTCCGGAGAGTCGGAAGTCACGTGGGTGAGTGACTAGTGCCCAGTTTAGATTTTGTCAGTTGTCCCTTTCTTGTCATTTCTGACATCCCCCCTCCAGGAGCCCCTGCTAATGTAGGAGATTATGTAGCCTGGTGCCAAGCTGTTGGCATGGAGGGATTTGCCTCCTCCTGGTCTGCATCCAGGGTACTAACACTATGTAAGCCAGCTGAGGTCTGAAATCAACTCCTCTGTTCCCGACAGTCCTTCCTCTTCTCTGTCTATTCTACTAGGAGTGTAGGGGGCTGGTGACCTCTGACCAATTCTCACCTTGGAGTCCTGTGAATTATTATTATTTCTTTGTCGGTCGTGGGTCTTGAACTCTGGGCCTGGGCGCTGTCCCTCAGCTCTTCAGCTCAAGGCGAGCGCTCTACCACTTGAGCTACAGCGCCACTTCCGGTTTTCTGGTGGTTTATTGGAGATAGGAGTCTCAACGGTCTTTCCTGCCCGGGCTGGCTTTGAACCGCGATCCTCAGATCTCAGCCTCCTGAGTAGCTAGGATTACAGGCGTGAGCCACCAGTGCCCGGCCTGTGAATTATTTTTTGCCCAGAGGGTCTTGAACCATGATTGTCCCATCTCTACCTCCCAAGGAGCTAGGATTATAGGGTGGAACTGCTGTGCCTGGCTTTTTTTTTTCCTTTTCTTTCGTGACGTGGGGCCTTGATATGTACCCCAGGCTGTGCCTCAGCCTCAGAAATTGTTTTAGTAAGATATAATTTACATACGAAAATTTCCTGGGGCTTAAGTGTACAGTTCAATGATTTTTTTTTTTTTTGCCAGTCCTGGGGCTTGAACTCAGGGCCTGGGCACTGTCCCTGAGCTTCTTTTTGCTCAAGGTTAGCACTCTACCTCTTGAGCCACAGCGCCACTTCTGGCTTTTTCTGTGTATGTGGTGCTGAGGAATCGAACCCAAGGGCTTCATGCATGCTAGGAAAGCACTCTACCACTGAGCCACCTTCCCAGGCCCTAGTGCAATGCTTTTTAGTAAGTATGAGATATTCTATTTTTTAAACATTTTTGGGGGGTTTGAACTCAAGGCCTTGAATTTGCTAGGCAGGAACTTTATCACTTGAGCAACACCTCCAGCCATTTTTGCTTGAGTTGTGGTCTGCATTGGGGCTCTCTCTCTCTCTCTCTCTCTCTCTTTGCCTAGGCCAGCCTCAGACCTCCACCTCCTGAGTAGATAGGATTACAGGTGTGAATCACCAGACCTGGCCTTCTAGAAGATTTTTATGACCCCCTACAATTCTGTTGTATGATTCTGTTTTAAGGCCAAGCTGGGTTGACAGCAAGCAGCTTAGTGGTTTCTTGGAGCTGTGGGCTGATGGGGAACAGGATGATGATTAGAGGTTTGCTTCGTCACCTCATGGGTAAACCTGAGAGTCTCCCTGTCCGGCCCCACATATTTACCAGACAGACCCAAAGCTCTAAGCTCCAGGATGTGGCAAGGATTCTTACACAACTTAAGCTGATTGAGTACATGAATCCCCCTGCTGGGGTGGGAGTGGACCACGTGAGAGAGGAGGGGGTTGGTTCCCCTGCTGTTGGGTATAAAAGGGGCTTTAATGGCTCTCTGCTGAGAAACACGGCCTCCTCACCAGGGCCCATGAATTAACTGGGAAGAGGATAGAAGTTAGGTACCCTTTCTGTTTCTTTGTGCCAGTACTCAGGGCCTGGGCACTGTCCCTGCCCCCACCCCCTCTTTTTCCTCACTTGAACCACAACTCCACTTCCACTTTCTTGGCAGTTAATTGGAGATTAGAGTCTCACGGACTTTCCTGCCTGGGCTGGCAGGCTTTGAACCATGATCCTCAGCTCTCTGTCTCCTGAGTAGCAAGGATCACAGGATTACAGGATTGTTGGCCTCCATGATTTTTACCTGCATTTTCCTGCGACGTTAGTAATGGCGAAGGTGCTGGAGGCCATGGCACGCTGGGACAGTGGGAAGGGAGAGGGAGAGGGCGGCTTTGCGAGTCAGGAAAGAGGCTGGTACAGACTCAGGGCTTGTGGGGAGGAGGGGGAGGGGGGAGAAGGGCACCCCTGAGCAGCTTCTCTAGTGGGGTGCAGAGAGAATAGTCACACATGGCAGAGACTAAGAACGATGGTCTCTAGAAAGACTGAGTGCCCATGCTGTGAGAACGATGGTCTCTAGAAAGACTGAGTGCCCATGCTGTGAGAACGATGGTCTCTAGAAAGACTGAGTGCCCATGCTGTGAGAACGATGGTCTCTAGAAAGACTGAGTGCCCATGCTGTGAGAACGATGGTCTCTAGAAAGACTGAGTGCCCATGCTGTGAGAACGATGGTCTCTAGAAAGACTGAGTGCCCATGCTGTGACCTACAATTCGAGGGAATTT